TAGCTCAGTTCCCTCTATGATGCATATTAAGCAAAGTATTAGGAGAGAGGTTCTCCACTATCAGTGTATACTTTCCATATCTATCAGAAACCTGGTTCCAACTTCTGTGGAAAATGCTCACAGATAGTAAGTATTCTTTTACCTGTTCCCAACTCCAGTCTTGCACTGTGTCTCAGTCCTTCATACCCCCAAAGTTTTTTATGCACTACTCATCACACTAGAGCATGGATCCACTTTACATCCAGTTTCTGTGTCCTGCAGAATTCTGGGACTTGTAGTTTAGGGAAGGACCTTTAAACTTCTCAGTCAGACAGGTCCTGGGCCTCACTAAACTACAAACCCTGGAATTCTGCAGGACACAGAAACCTAATGTGATGAGGCACTAGCACTCATCTTTTTCCAAACTCCACTTAAGTCATTTGCTTTTTTTTAGTAGTACATCATGACAACCGCCAATGGCAACACAGGTGATTGAATACAATGGCAATCGAATTGTACTTCCCAAAAAGGATTAATGCCTTTGATGTTGCTACTGTTGGACTCCATTGTTTTTACTCACTGCCCATGCATACAGTGCTCCCATCTACCCATACTGGGGAATTGGGAAAAGGGTAGCAGTTGTGTGGAGTCCAATATTATTTTCTCAAATCCTAATGATTCCAGATTGTGACTGGATTCCAATCATGATGGCTATGTATAGACCTGGTTAATGACATACCTGTTGCTCCTGTTATGATCATCACACCTTACAGTGAGCCTGCAAATGTGCAAGAATTTCATAGAATAAAATATCACTAGTATAAGGAAATGGCGAAACACATGCATAGACAGTTTCCTGCCAAGTCTCAACATTGCTGGAGTTCAGTGAATTTCCACATAGTATACTGATGGAAAAGATTGTGATTAATGTCAGCTTTGGACAAAACTAAAGCAGAAATGGTGTGTTTCTTCCAAAGTTGCTCTGTGATACCAAAACATTGCAAGTTGGGAAGCTCTTCAAAAGCCAATACTGTGCTTGATGCACTCCTACTTACTTTTCTGACTATCCATTCTTGATCTGACCTGTGCATGATTTTAATTATTGATTCCCAAACTTAAAATATTGTGTTCATAACATCCTTATTTTGCATTAAGATAATTATTTGCCAAAGTGAGGAAAGAACTTCATTATTGAATCAATATGTATCATAGATCTACAAGTCTATATGTGCAGCAGTGTGTGTGTGTTCCCCACAAAAAGAATCATTTGGTTGCTGTAAGTTTTTCGAGCTGTATGGTCATGTTCCAGAAGTATTCTCCCCAGATGTTTTGCCTGCATCTATGTCATTCTCTCCTGACATTTTGCCTGCATCTCTGAGACCTCACAACCTCTGAGGATGCCTGCCATAGATGCAGGTGAAACATCAGGAGAGAATGCTTCTGGAACACTTTTATAATACAAACTATTTATTATTTATTTATAGTATATATATCCTGCCCTTCTCACCCTGAAGGCAATAATTCAAAACAATATCAACAACAAATATAAAATAAACATATACATTAAAAATAAATTTACAAACCGTATAAAAATTAAAACACACTATTAAAATCATGCAGAAGTAGAGAATAGTTCATATACATTAAAGGGGAGAAATAAACAAGATGAACTATTGATATAGAAATGTTGTGTTTGTATTGCCTCACTTCTGCAGCTTGATTTCTCTGGTTCGTATTGTTCACCTTCTCAAAGCAGTCTAACAATCCTTTGGAATATGACAACAGAAAATTGTAGTCTCTCCTTGGTTGGAACAACATTGTCATGTAATGCAAATTCAGAATGCAGTTTAACTGCATTGAATCGGATTATATAGTAATGGTAGTGTAGGTTCATGTAATCCGGTTCAACGCAGTTAAACTGCATTCTGAAACTGCATTATTTGGCAGTGTAGATCCAGCTCTAGATTTTGTGTGTGCTTTCCCCATTAATAACTTTTGCCAATGACATACTCTGATGTTGCTTTAGCACACACTTCCCAATTTTTTATTTTGTGAAATTCTAGAGGGTACGTAATTTTTTAAACGTTGCATAGCTATAGTCCACAATATTCATTTTTAAATTATCAATGTTAAATCTTATATTCACCTCCATACCACTTTTGAAAAATTTCAATACAATTACCATATTTCTTCCATTTGGTGATAGCCTGATTCAGTTCCAGTCCAGCTTATCTGTCTGAATGTATCTCCCTCTATGAACCATCTTGTAGATTAAGATCATCTGGGGAGGCCCTGCTTTCGGTTCCACGTCCCTCGCAAGTGCGATTGGTGGGGATGAGAGACAGGGCCTTCTCAGTGGTAGCTCCTCTTGTATGGAATTCCCTCCCCAACTAAATTAGAATGGCACCCTCCCTCCTGGCCTTCAGAGGGAAAATAAAAACTTGGCTGTGGGACCAAGCCTTTGGGCAGTAAGTAGTACAAGGAATAATCCAGACTTATGATATTTGGAATGGCCTGGACTACGATTGTTGGGTTGTGTGATTTTAATGCTTATATTGATATGTTTTTAATTCCATGTTTTAATGTTAAATGATGTCATGATTTAGGATTTAATTGATAATTGTTTGTTATTATCATTACATTAGATTTCTGTATATGAGGCATTAAATTTTGCCATAAATATGTTGGAAACCTCTTTGAGTCCCCCACTAGGGTGAAAAAAGCCATATACAAGTTAAATAAATAAAAAATAAATAATATGATATCTCTAATTTCCAGTAATTTTTAATTTGTACTCTTAATTATTATTGAATTATCAGGAATTCAAATGCTTTTGTCATCTAGCAAATACAACTCAAAGGAGTACTGGTTGGACCCTAAATCCTCTTAAATAGTAAAAATGAGTGGAAAACTCAACTATTATCAGTGAAGAAAATGCAGATGTTCAGAGATCCCAACCAAAAGAAAAATTGGCTTCCTTACAACAACAAAACTTTTTCCTCTCCTGTGTATTGTTTTAATCAGTTTATTTTGATCAACTCTTGGATGAAGTTAGCTCGTTTTCACTAGAAACATCAAATGAACTTGTGGCCTCTTACCACATAAGCATGTGTTCATCCAGATCATATGAAATTTGCTAAGAATTTGTGAGCTGGTCCATTAAAAAAAAGATCATATTTGGCTTTGATTTGCTTAATGTCATTGCTGCCAACAAAGAACAGAACTTCTAATACAGGCTGGTTCTCATCATTACAATCCGGCAGAAATTTATTTTGACTGAAACATTTATGAGTAAGTTTACAACAAGCAGAATCTAACAAATGCAAATAACCACTATTAAAACAGAGTTGTACTGTATACAGTAGGGCCTTAATGGCCACTGGGATTTGGTTCCATGACATCCCATGGATACCAAAATCCATGAATGCTTATATACCATTATATACAATTGTATAGTGAAATTGCATCCCTTATATAAAATGTCAAAATGTCAAAATCAAGGTTTGTTTGGGGGGAATTTATTGGGGTATATGTATATATTATATATTCAAGCTGTGGATGGTTGAATTTGTAGATACAGAATGGCAGCTGTATATGTTTCTGTCCTTCCATCCTCCCACGTAGAGATAAATGTGCATTCTCATGTGGAGAGTGAAAGGATGCACTTCAGATAAATGTATTATATCTGCAGAACCCAATGCATGTCAACCCACAAGATGATTCATTTTGGCTTATAAACCAAGTGCCTAAAAGGAAACTGAAAGAGAGGAACAGAGCAGCCTCACCCAACTTGCTGCTCCGCCCCTTCACATGCCTGGGCCAGCAAACAAGCTGGCCCAAACCAAGTCTGCCTCCTTGTAAAAGCCAGCAGTTGTTATATTGGTAGAGCCAGTATGATTAGTATATGTTTATTTTGAAGACATGTTAAACTAATACTTTAGACTGAGTGTAGGAACTGTGTAGTCCACAGGCCCATGTTGTTGGACCACTTCTATTTTCTTACTACCTTGTCAGACAGCCAACAGTGATAGCATTATAGGGATGTGGGGAATCGGGTGCCCCACAACACCCAGATCCATGCGAGGGTGATCAAATGGGGGAGGGAAGTGTGATGTACACAGCTTCCCACCATAGATTGTATGGCAATATGGGAGCTCTCCTGTGTTGCCCAACGAGTGGCATGCACTGGCTCTGCCCTCCTTCACACATAGAGCTGGCACCATGTCATATGATGGGAGCCAACCAGCTCCGTGGGTGACCTGGGCTAAAATAGCCGCATGCCACCAATTTTAGCACTTTGTGATGATGTCCCTAGACCCACATCTGTATATATTTTGTTGGCTTCAGAATGATCAGATATGTGTTCCCAGGAGCTTTCAGACCATGTGATTGGCCATTTAAATGTTAGCCTCTGCCCCAGTGGTTTATTTTACATCTTGATAGCCTTTTTCCCATTCCAAACTAGATGCAACTTTATAGTCATTTCTGGTATGAAACAAGGGGTAGATGTGGCTTATCAAGACCTGCATGAGATGAAACATAACAGGTGCAGCCCCCTGATATTTGTAGGCTCCTCACTGTTGCCCTAGTCATGTTGAGGACTGAAAAAACATACTGTATGATGTTGCCCTAAACTCAATGTAAACCAATCTTCAAGGCATGTTGAAGCTAGTGGGTCATTCATTAGGATGTATCTCATAATTTTTAAAATGGTATAAATGTACTTTATTTTTAACTAATATTTTTTTCATATGAAAGATGCTTTGTCTCTTTGGAAATGCAGAAGTACAGATAATTCCATAATACCGGTACTTACATTAAAATAAAGCGGGGATAGGGGGGAATTATGAATAGGGAGAATGCACAAATTGGAAGGAATTACTCCAGTTTCAAGCAAGATGGATTTGCAATGGCAGAACCCATTATCGAAGGCTCGTGTGATAATATCCAGTAAAAACATGTTGATTATTAAGGGTTTTCTCTTGTTGATTTTTATGAATTGCTCTCCTAATATTTTCCAGATGCAGAGCCAAGATACTTGATTTCTGTGAGGCCAATTCCTGTTGCAAATTACAAGAAATCTTGTTCAGGTACTGTCATATTTTTAAACATTTGTCCATGAGCCATGAGAAACATATTTTTCCATGGAAATCACTGGTCTTGCATTTGAGCAACAGGTAACTAATTTTTTGTGGCAATTCAGCTAGTTCTGTGTATTTCTTGTGCCATAATCTCCTTTAAGCATTATCACAGAACCATGAAACTTTAAGATGTAGCATATGTTTTCTGGTTCAGTTACTGGCTTGATCTCTTTAGGCACTTTTGGGCCAGACATGGAGTGGGGGAGATAAAACTAATCTGTTCTTTAAGTCTAGAGCTGTAGCCAGATAACTGGTGTGATATATTGGGATATTTACAAATTTTCTAACCACATAGCAGATGAAATTCATAGCAGTCATTTTGGCAAGGGAAAACTTGCAAAAACATGGAGAGACAAAGCACTAAAGAACAGTCTGATGATCTGTGGAAAGGGTCAAGAAGAGTCATTCATGCAAGAAGCACCAGGAAAAAGCATGAAATTAAGGGTCAAAAAGAGTCATGCTTGAAGAGCTGGGAAAGAAAATCGCAGCAGGCATGAAACTAAGGGTCCAAAATACAGTTCCATGTGACTGCAAACGGAAGACACCCCATGTGCAAAAAAAATCCTAATGGCGAAAACAAGCATTGTTTCCTTTTTTGCCGCATCCTAATGTTGTATTTATTCTATGAGTACAGGAGTCCTCAGACGAATTGGAAGTCTATGCAAGTTATTTTGTCTTTCGCGTATGATTAATTTGTATAAAAATGGGAAAGAAAGTTGTTGGCAGGTTTATAGAATGTCCATAGTATTTTGGATGGCCCTGGTCATTTTAGAAAAAATAATTTATGAGTAATAGAAATTGATATCCAGTGAATTTTTATTATTAGTGTATGTTTTCATAGACTCACAGCTAAACACCATTATGAATAGAACTGTTCTTTGTTTTTGTTGCCTTGAAATGCAAGAGAAGTAGTCCTTCACTTCAAGATTTATTTTATTCTTGCCTTTTATATTAGTAAGGCTATTCAAGCAGAATGTTATCCACCAACCACAGTTGTTGACTACTAGGTGCATCATATCATCCATTTATGAACCTTCAGGCAGGATAAACAAGAGACATGTTAATCTCTGGTGAGCCAGATTATATGGCTATTCACAGTGGTGTCACTAAAGTTGATGTCACCTGGTGTGGTAACTCTTCCCATATCAGACCATTTCAAAGTACCATAGCCTAAGTACCAGAAACTTTGACATAATCAGTGCCTATAAAAAAACCAGCAGCAAAAATATAGTATGTGTTTGTAGTACATGCAGATGAAGCCACGTGATTTGAAGGGTCATCACATTTGGATAATAATGACAACTCTGACTACAGTGTATATGCTTTACTCAGTTTACAAAGTTAACTAGTACAGAGTTCTAGCCTTGTAAGTATGTTGTATAGTATATGTAGGCTGGACTGACAAAATGTCTTTGTGGTTATAACAATACAGGGATATTTTAAATAAAAATAATAATTGTCTGCTGCACAAAAACTATACAGTCAAGTCATTTTGATGTCATCCCCTCAGATGGTAGGCGGAATTTGCGCCACCCACATTCAAATAGTCAAGTCAAGTCAATTTTATTTGTACCCTATCCCATCTCCCTGTGGGGACTCAGGGCAGCTTATAACAGTGACACCTCTGGGTAGTGGGTCATTCATTAGGATGTATCTCTTAATTTTTAAAATGGTATAAATGTATTTTTCTGTGCCTTTTTTTATACAGGCAAAACACATACACCCAAACCACTCCAGTTGGTAATAGGAACTTTAACTCCAACTTCTGTCTTCTTATCCTGGGGAATCTTAGTCAACCCAAAACATGACTGGACCACAATGAATAACTGTGCAAATGACAGGTAATAAACTAAAAGATATATATTGTGAAAACAATAGGCATTTTTTGCTCTTTTGTTTGGATCTGGCATTTTTGGTTTATAAATGGAAGGCACTAGAATTCAAAGGTGAGTTGGGTTTGATATAAAGCAAGTGGAACTGCTGAAAATGGAAGAATTGGAATTATTTATTACTTTTCCCAATTTTGACAGTTAATTAGGTAATCTTAATTACTCTAGTGAGCCCTTAGAATGTAGGTTTAACATAGTTGCAAGTGCCAAATAGTCATTTCAACCACAGGTTGAGTAACTCTTATTCAAAATGCTTGGGACAATAAGTGATTGAGGTATTTTTTTAATGGAATATTATACATAATAATTTATCTTGGAGATGGGACTGAAGTCTAAAACATACATTCATTCATATTTCATGTGCACCTTATGCATATAGCTTGGAGGTTATTTTATACAATATTTTATTTTTTATTTTTATATAAATTTTTATTGATTTTGCGTTAATATATAACATATAACATATAACAAAATACATGTGGAGACATGAGACAAGACAGACAAAGTAACAAAAGACATAGCAGGATTTCTGAACAAGACATCATGTTGACGAGTACGTATGCCTCTCCTGCACTTGGTCGTCCCTTCCCTGTTTCCCTCCCCTCGTCTAGACCAGCTTCTCTTCGTTTTTGCTCGATTTCCGAGTATGCTTTTCTTACATTGTTGTTATTGTGATTTTCATCTCGCCATTCTTATATGGAATGTCTTTTTTCTTAGTACATGTCATGTACTGCCTCTATCTTTTCCCCTCTCTCTTCCTCTGCCTCTCTCTCACCCCCCTCCCACCCGCCCCCCTCCTGGCGAAAGAGGGAATGGTGGGGGGTGAGGGAAAAGGGGAAGAGGGGCCGGGTATACAAAGAGGGAAGGGTTGAGACCAATGATTATTGGTGAGATTGCAATGTGTTGCTTTGGCACCCGGGGTTACTCTGCGGGGGGGGGGGGGGGGGGGAGTAATTTGTGAATCTAAACTCTATCGATACCCACCACCCTGTATACAACCCCAAGTGACATTAATAGCACTTCCAGGATGTTCTGGACAGTTGATTTAATAGTGGGCAATGCCTTGTCCTTTATTCTGTTTGTTTATCATACGTCGGTTAGTAACGATATTCCCTTGAGATCTTTTATTATTCAGTACTGGTTTCAATTTCGTTGTTTAATCTTTTTGTGTATTCTATGAAGTTTGTCCAATTAGTTCTAGGCGGTTTTGGTATATTCTGGGATATTTTATAAGTTAATATGTCCATATTCATATATCCCATACTTTTAACAGCCACTGGTCCACTGTGGGGGTTTCTGTAGATTTCCAGACCCTAGCTAACACTGATCTGGCAGCTGTGGTAAAGTAAAAAAACAGTTTATCCGAATTTTTATTTTGGAAGGGATCTATGATTCCCAGTAGCATTGCTTCTGGTTTAAGTTTTATTTTCTCTCCTAATATTTCCTCTATTGCTTTATTAACCTCATACCAGAAAGTTTTTATCTTTCTACATTTCCACCATGTATGAATATAGTTTCCTTTATGTTTCCCACATTTCCAGCATGTATCTTTGATTTTTCCTTTGCTGAACTTAGATATTTTGTCAGGTGTATAGTACCATCTGTAAAACGATTTATACCAGTTTTCTTTCATCTCAGTTGAGTATGTGTATTTGATTTTTTGGCGCCAGACCTCCTCCCATTCTGTCATATTTATCGGTCTTCCTATATCTCTAGACCATTGGATCATATTCTGCTTGACCTGTTCTGTTTCTGTTGCCCATGTCAATAGTTGTTGGTATATTCTTTTAATCAGCTTGGTTTCGTTCTTTGTTATTTTATCCCAGAAGTTTTCTTGTATCTGGAATCCCATTTTAGCATCTATTTTGAAATTCTCTAATATTTGTTGATATTGAAACCAAGAGATGGATTTGTCCAGTTGTTTAAGTTCTTCCTGGGATTTCAATTTCGTCTCTCAGGGGCTTTTTTTCAGGAGTTGGGCATACGTAAGCCATTTTTCTCTAGGTAGGTCTCTCAAATGCTGCGCTTCGTTGGGAGAAAACCAGAGGGGAGTCTTCCTATAGAATCTTTCTTTATACCTGTCCCAAACTTTGAGAAGTGCAGCTCTTGTTGGATGGTTTCTGAAACCCTTCTCTTTTTCCGCTTTGCCCCTCCATAGGTAACCGTGCCAGCCTTGGGATAGGTCAAAACCCTCTAGGGCTAGTATTTTCCATTTATTCAGAGTCGCCCAGTCTCTTATCCACCGCAGTGTCGCTGCTTCATAGTATAGTTGTATATCGGGAAGGGATAGCCCCCCCCCCTTTTCTTATCATCAGTCATGTTTCTATGGCTTATTCTTTGTTTTTTACCCTTCCAAATAAATTTAGAGATTTCTTTCTGCCAATTGTTAAGCAGGGTTTTCGATTTTAGGACCGGTAACGCTTGGAACAAAAACAAGGCATCGGGTAGGACGTTCATTTTTACTGTGGCGATTCTGCCTAATAAAGAAAGGTTTAGGGAGTTCCAGGAATTAATTTTCTTTTTTATTTCTTTCCATTTTTTTCGTAATTATTTTTTATTAAATGCGCATTGTTTGTCGCTATTGTTATTCCTAAATATTTTGTTTCTCTTGTTATTTTAATTCCTGACGTTTTCTGTAATTTCTCTTTATCATCTTTATTCATATTTTTAGTTATTATTTGCGTTTTATCTTTATTTATTCTAAATCCTGCAACTTTGCCAAATTCTGTTATTTCTTCCAGCCATTTGTTGATGTTATGTAGTGGGTTCTCTATGAAGCAGACTATGTCATCTGCAAACGCCCTTGTTTTAAAAGTGTGTTTCTTTATATTTAGCCCTTTCAGTTCTTTGTTAGCCAAGATTCTCTGGAGAAGAACTTCTAGTACCGTGATGAAAAGTATAGGGGATAGGGGACATCCCTGTCTGGTACCTTTTTGGATTTGTATATTTTCTGAGTGTTGAGCATTGATTACTAATTTTGTCTGTTGCTGGGCATAAATGGAAGTAATTGCTTTTAGATATTGATAACCTATGTCCATTTCTCTAAACAAGCATATGATGAAGTCCCAGTTAACTTGATCGAATGCCTTTTCGGCATCAAGAAACATAAGAGCAGCCTTTTTTTGGTTATTCTTTTCATAGTAGTTGATAACGTTGATTACTGTTCTTATGTTGTCACTAAGTTGTCTTCCTGGTAGGAAACCGACCTGGTCATCTTCGATTCTTTCTCTTAGTATTTTAGTTAATCTGGATGCTAATATTGCAGTAAATATTTTGTAATCTGTGTTGAGGAGAGAAATGGGGCAGTAATTTTTAACTGATGTACTGTCTGTATTACTTTTGTGGATCAGTGAAATTGTAGCGTGTTTCCATGTGTCCGGCAGTTCTCCTTCCTCCATGACTTTATTCGTGACTTTCTGCAGTTGGGGAGCTAGTATGTCCTGAAAAGTTTTGTAATATCTGGATGTAAGGCCGTCCGGTCCTGGAGCTTTGTCTAATGGTAATTTATTGATGATTTTTAAGATTTCTTCTTGAGAAATTGGGTTGTTCAGCTTCTCTCTTTGGTCATCGGAAATTCTTTGTATATTTTGTTTCGCTAGGTATTGCATTATTTTTTCTTTGGGGATTTTTTCGTCTTTATATAGGTTTTTGTAATATTTCGTGAATTGATCTATGATTTCCTTTGTCTTATAGAAACATTTATCTCCCTCCATTATCTTTGTTATTTGTCTACTCTGTTTTTTGACTGCAATTTTTCTTGCGAGTGCTTTCCCTATTTTATTTGCGTTTTCGAAGTAATATTGTTTGGTATATTTCAACTTCTTTTCTATCTCTTCTAACTGAAGTGTATTCATCTTCTTTCTTAATATATTCAATTGGTAACATATTTTGGTGTCTTTGGGGTTTGCCTTAAGTTGTTCCTCCATTCTAATAAGTTCACTTTCTAGTTTTTGATGTTCTTTATTTCTTGCTTTTTTTATCTTTGTAGCTTGCTCAATTAGATGGCCTCTTATGAATGCTTTGTGGGCATCCCATATAATCTTGGTAGATGTGTCCTTTTCTGTATTTAAACTAAAGTGTTCTTTTAGTAGCTCTTTATTTTTTTCCACTTCTTTGGGTGATAAAAGTATTTTATCATTCAGTCGCCACCTAAAGGTGGTCCTTTTTTCTTGTTGATTTTGGATTTGTAACTCTATGGGTGCATGGTCAGAATTTACCATAGGTAGTATTGCATTCTTAGTTATCTCCGGTAAGATAGTGCTCGTCACCCAGGCCATGTCGATACGCGACCATGTTGAGTGTCGATTAGAGAAAAACGTGTAGTCAGTCTCTTTTTCATGGTGATATCTCCATATATCCGTTAGCCCTAATTCTTCTTTTAGTTCCATAAATGCTTTTGGGAGGGCCCCTGATTGTCTTTGGTTTGCTTTTGATGTTCGAGTTGATTTATCTTTCTTTATGTCCACCACCCCATTGTAATCCCCTATGAGTAGTAAGTCATCATAGTCTGTTTCTAATATGTATTTTTTAATGTTTTTATGAAGTTACTTTTTGTATCGTTAGGTGCGTATATGTTACAGACTAAAATGTTTTTGTCCTCAATCTTTATCAAAACTCCTAAAGTTCTGCCTTCTGAGTCTCTAAATGCTAGATTTGAAGGGATATTTTCTTTAATTACTAAACCTCTTTTCTTATCTCGTCCCGACGCATAATAACATTTTCCCAGCATTTTATTCTCCAGATGTGATATATGTTTATTAGAGATGTGTGTTTCCTGTAAAAGAATTAAGTCATAATCGCATTTCTTTAAATAATGCCATATTTTTCTTCTCTTACATGGGCCATTCAGCCCGTTAACATTATTCGAATAAATCCTAATTTTTCCTATCATCATTATCACTTTTCTTATCTAGGTGTTCTATATCTGTCTTAGTGGATTCTTTCTGGGAGGTGTAATTCCCTGGGGATATTTCTCTTGGTCTTTTTCTTCCCTTTTCGTTGTCTTCTTCATCCATAAGATTGAGATTGAGTCTCTTTATTACATTATCAGTATGGTCGTTGTGGTGGGGTGTATACTTCCCTCCTCCTTCCTCTTCATGTCCTTGTTTATTCTCATTTTTCTTTTTCAGGTACTTGTCCCAGAATGCCTTAGCTTTAGCTTCGGATGTTAACCAATACTTATTTTCATTCCAGGTTGTTACTAAGCCTTCCCTCTTTTCCCATTTAAATCTCACATTTCTTCTTTTCAATTCGTCGGTCAGGAAGTAGTATTTGCGTCTTCTTTCAAGTATCGATGCTGGGATCTCCTTTAGAATTACAATTTTGTTTCCTTTATATTGTATTGGTGATTTTGGGTGTTCTCTGAGTATTTCATCCCGAGTGTTTTTTTTTTTGTCAGTTGGACAATAATATCTTTCGGGGTTTTGAATTTCCTGGAGTAGGTTGTTTGTATTCTGAAGACTCTGTCTACTTCTGCTTCGACATCTGATCTACTTTTTTTTATTAATTGTGCGATCATATTTACAATTACTTCTCTTATATTAACTTCTTCTTCCTCTATTACATTCCTGAATCTGAGTTGAGCCTCTTTCTCCCTAATTTCCACCATTTCTTGCTGGTTCTGGACTCTATCTATCACTTCCTCAAGACTTTTTACTTTTTTCTTCACTATTTCCTGGTGATTCTTAATTGTGATATTGTCTTTGATTGGGTCTATATTTTCCTGTTTTATTTTTCCTACATCGTTTTTTACAGTGGTCAATTCTTCTTTAACTAACGATTGCAGTGATTGCAGCTCTTCTTTCATATCTTTCATATCTTTTTTTATTGCTTCTGTCTCATTCTTGCTAGCTTTGCTTTGTGCCTCCTGGTTGTTCTGAATTGTCTTTATTTCTGCTTGTATTTTTAGTAGTTCTTTCATAAGATCCTTAATTGTGGGTTCCTCGGGTAGGGAACCTTTTCTAGCATTAAGTGGGGTCCTTTTCTCTAGATCTTTTTCTTTTTCCTTCTCCTTTTCTTTTTCTGTCTTGCCTTTTTGCAGCGTTGCCATATTTACACAGTTTTAATTTGTTCTCTCACTAATTTTTGGTAATGATTTGGTTGATTAGTGTTGGGTTCTTTTGTTAAGTTGTTAGGGAGGGGTACAAGGGAGGTACAGAGGAGGCCAATCAGCACAGTATCAACCTGATACAGCATGCAAAGTAAAGAGTTGTTGGGGGAGGGTACAAAGGAGGTACAAAGGAGGCAAATTGGCACAGTATCAACCTACTACAACATGTGAGATAGAGATTTGTTAGGGCGGGGCACAAGGGAGGTACAGAGGAGGCAAATCGACACAGTATCTACAAAGTACAACATACAGAGTATAAAGGATAGTATCAACAATTTGTAAACCTAGCGTATATCTAGTGCATATCTACTAAAAATCCGATGCTGTTTAGCTCTGTGAAAGCAACAGAAGGTGTTACTGTATTTACAAGAGATGGTACATTAATTCAGTCATGGCCTTAGTAACATATTTGCATTTTTAGTCTATAAGGTCAATACTCTGACTATGGTGAATGTAGCTATAATAAATATCTATATATTTCTATATCAAGCCAGGTCGAATAAAGTTACAAATCAAGTCCAAATAATATTAGTCCGTGATCGTCAAGGTCAGGTCTGGGTTGAGATAATCCCAAATCAGACACTAGTTGGTTCCTCACTTTCTAGTAGTCAGTATCAGTACAGATCAGCTTCAAACCAATCCAATTTATTTCATTCAATATCAGCCCAGCAACAAACGGGTGGATCAGTAAACAAAACCCGAGATTGGTGAGTACTATGATCAATGTTCAGGCAGGGCAGAACTGTTCAACAAGGAAAAAAGAACTTTGAGGTCGGAGGGGCCGGGGCAAACAGGAGTACCGAATGTAAAGTACTTGCTACTCCCTACTCCCTACTCACGTTACTTGCACCACCAGTCTGGGTGATCCGGTTCTTCGCTGCAGGGATCTTTCAAGTGATTTTCCAAGGCCCAATCTTCCTCTTAGTAGGTTGAGGTAGCGGAACAAGGTATGGTGTGGTGTGGTGGGGGTGTATAGGGAAGCGATACCTTCGTTTCTTACTCCCTACTCCCTCCGGATCGTTCTGAGGTTGCTTCGTCCTTCTAGTTGTGTTTGGTGTTTGGTGTTGCTCAATTGGTATTCTCCCCTCTACACACCATTTACGCCTTTGCGTCTCCTCCTCCGCTTCTCCGCAACGTAACCGCAGCGTGTCCAAAGCCAAAGGCTGTAGCTGTAGCTTGGGTTGCTTGGGTTGTAGTTACGGCTTAGTTCGAGGCTTGTTTTGCGACTTCAAATTTTGCGACAATTTTGCAGCATTTTGCAGCACTTTGCAGCACCTGGTTGTTTTACTGTTTCATTGCTGTGCTTTGCTGTGTTTTGCTTTGCTTTGCTTTGCTTTACTATGCTGTGTTGCTTTGCTTTGCAGCTTGCTGCGTTTATCGTGCTGCCTCTTTGCCTCTTTGCTTTCGCTTTCGCTTTTCACTTTTCACCACCGTAACGCGTTGCTCCTCCACTCCTCCACTCCTCTACTCTTCTCCTCTTCCCGGGAGGAGACCTTGTCTACACCAGGTTGGAACGGAGCACGACTCAGGAGTGGCTTCTCTCAGGTATAGGTGATTCTTGTCTAGCCCAACAATGCTTGTGGCTGTGCAGATTCCTTTTTTCTTCCTGTTAATTTTATCAATGGCATAAAATAGCGACTGGCATTCACCCATACGGGCTTGTGCACGTTGGGTATCCTTGTCGTCCCTGTGCAGTTGGTTGGTGTGGCACTCTGGTCAGGCTTACGAATATCGCGACCATGCAGTACCTACCAGCTGAACGCGCCAACCCGCCTCTCGCTGTTGGGTTGGGGGAGCAAATGCTCTACCTAGGGTCACGACAGGTCGGGTTGCTGAGGAGCCTCAACAAACCGTGGCGCCCGCCATCTTGCCGCTACCGGAAGTATACAATATTTTATACAATATTTTAAATAATTTTGTGCATGAAATAAAGTTTATGTACATTGAATTATTCAAAGGTGAAGGTGTCTCTATCTTAGCCACCCATGTGGACAATACTGGATTTTGGAGTATGTTTAATTTCAGAAGTCTGGATACAGAATGCTCGTCCTGTATTTGAATATAGTCACTGTCCAGTGGTTTCAAAGGGGCCCCAGAGTAAAAAGAAAGGCATTTTTTTCAGAATGTATATAATAAAGTTCAGCCTGCTTTTTTGCTTCTCTCCAAGAAGTAGCACTGCTTACTGCATTGCATATAAGCTCAATCTTATATTTGACTATTCAGAAATAAGTCCAGTTGATTTTAATGGTTGTACTCCCAAGTTAGTGAGTATAAGACATCAGTTTTTCTTATGTTACTAAAACCAAATGACTGAAACTTTATGTTTCTTTAGTTTAAATTAAAGTATGCACTTGCTTTTTATTGACTAGATTTTATACAGTTCGCTATAGAGAAAAAGACAAGAACAAGAAGTGGGCTCTTCAGCTTTGTCCAACTACAGAAACAGTGGTGGACAACCTGAAACCTAATGCAGTCTACGAATTTGGAGTGAAGGACAACACGGATAATGGAATCTGGAGCAAGATTTTCAATCACAAGGTGGTTATGCCTAGTAAGTAGTTTATTATAATTCCTGCCTTTCATTGGCTGAAAAGTTAAACTCATCATCACAGAGCAGGCATGTCTATTTTATCCACGTGTCTCCCATATACTGCTCCATGTTATGTTTGAAGCCATTTTTGTCATGCCCTTGGCATTGGTCTCAGGGGAAGGAAAAAATTCTTACAATAATGGAGCACAATAAGACAGATGAGTTTTACCTGTGTAGTGTATTTGCCCTTACATGAAAAAATACACTGCCTGAAAAAAAATCTTCTGGTTAATATGTGAATTGGACAGGCACAAGCCTTTGCTGAAGTACACTTGAATTATTATTATTATTATTAGTAGTAGTAGTAGCAGCAGCAGTAGTAGTAGTAGTACTGCCACAAAATGAGTCCAATAGAATATACCATTGAGACTATTCTTTACTACTGAAACTATTCAGGGCTCATGTACATTTAATTAAAAGATTCTAATTTACAGCCTTGCTCATTTTCCTTGATGATGAATAGTTTTTTTTGAACTGTATCACACAAGCCTTTGCTGAAATTCACTTGAATTGTTATTATTAGTAGTATTAGTATTTCCAAAAAAATAACATGAGTCCAATAGAAAATACTATTGAGACAACTCTATACTACTGAAACTACTCAGGACTCATGTACTTTCAATTAAAAGGTTCCAATTTACCACCTTGCTCATTTTTGTTGATGATGAATAGTCTTTTTGAACTGTATTACCCAGATGTGTTAATTGCCTATTTATTGCTATTTCTGTGAGGTGCAGGGGGAAAACACTAATTATTAAATTCCTCACATTCCTTCCCCTTGTTAATAGAACAATAATACTATAGATACATTCCATTCCTTTTCTAGCAGCTATGCCTAGAGCACACCCCACATTGTCTGTATTTTTTAGTACTGCCTCCAATGTACCACTGGAGATTTTCTGTTTCTACTTATTTATCTGAATAACTAAGGATAACTAAGGATCTACAGCAACATATTTGCTTGATGAGTCACTTAATAAATCTGGGCTATTATAATGACTTCATTTTATTTATGATGTATAAAGGTTTTATTCTCATTTATGAAAAATAATGTGTTTGGCAAAGGAGGTGGAAAATGCTGGTGTTTGTATGAAATATTTCCTTATCACAGGAAATACATAGGAACCCCAGTGTACATTGAATTATAGGATTTAGTCTAGTGTACATATTAAATGTTGAACCCAGGCTTTAGAAAGATTGTAATAAGAACATTTTGCTTAAGTTACAAGCACTACACCACAGAAACACATCTGTGGAACTTAGTTCTAACCAAAAAAGCTAGTCAATAAATGTCCAAGCTTTATCAAGGTCTCCTCAAAAACTAGTGCAGCACATCCAATAGAATCCATGGAATTGTATTCTTACAGTTTCCAGAAGCATAAGTTTCTTATGTCAGATATGTTTCCAGATGTTAGCATATTGCACTAAAAACACAGAAATCTTGTGGTACCGTATCTATATAAATAAAAATGTAATGTTAGTTTGTGGGATCAGCATAACCCAAAAACCACTGGGTGAATTGACACCAAATTTGGACACACTACACCAATCAGGCCAACGAGTGACCATCATTCAAAAAAACACTGAAAAACACAATGGAAGTGACCATCGTTCATAAAAACCCTGAAAAACACAATGGAAGAGACTTAAAAATCCAAACATTAAAAAATACATTACAATATATGCGCATAACTGCATAAATACACAAATACACACACACACATATGCACATATATACACACACAAAACACATATAACAGACTGGCCACAGCAACGCGTGGCAGTGGATGGCTAGAAGAGTAATAAATGTATTATGACATAAGCTTTTGAAGAGTTATTCTGCATTGTGCACAAATGTTATCTTCAGTTGACAAGAGTATGTAGAGGTGTGTATGTGTGCCTTAAGTTGTCTATTAATGTATGGAGATCACATTCATTTCATATGGTTTTCTTAGGGGGCTTCCAGACAGGGGTAAAAACTGTGCCGAAGCGGGTTTAGAAATCCTGCTTCAGCATGGGGTTTTGTCCCCACAAGCTACCCAAAACCCGGGCTTTCCCGGACAAGTTATCTAGATGCCATCCTAGAAACTACTGGAATGGCACCCAGCCACCCAGAAGCCCTCCAAAATAAGCACTACATTTTTTTAAAAAATGTACTGGGCTGCCATTATGGTGGTCCTTCCATGCTCCTGACATATAGAAATAACATGCCAGGAGATGGGACGAGGAGTGATTTTGCTCTTCACCTCACCCTTCACCCCATCTCCTGACGCATCATATTCATGAACCAGGAGAACAGAAGGACCACTGTAATGGCAGCCTGGTACGTTTTTTGAGGCTATCAGCTTTCTGAGCTCATGGAGCCCAAAAAATGAGATGGCTATGTGGATTGAGTCTGAGGATTGTGTGGCATGGTCCCTGAGCCCAATCCACACAGGGCCCACATCTGGTAAGACCCAGATCTTACCTAAGATCCGGGTCTTACCAGGTGTCTAATTAATTCAGAACCCTGCTTTGTTCCAAATTAATTCACTTTTACCTAAGGCCTTGTTTGGACACTTGAGGTAAAAGTGCAACAGGTCTCGCATTTTTGGACCTATCTGGAAGGGCCCTTAGACAAAGACTGCTCAGAGATATTTTTGCCAGTTCCTTCCTCTGAAATATAGTTTACAGCAGTTTCTCATCTAAGTACAACAAGGGTGGACCCTTTTAGCTCCCAAGATCAGACAGGCTCTGTTGCTGTTGGAGTAAGTCAGCCACATATAGGTATGATATATACATTTATTCTTTCACACTGATATTAGTGTGTTTCACATAGATTGGTATATGGATCACATTGGCAAATCTGCATATAATGTCTCAGTTTGATTTGAAAACCTTTATAGTCTTTCCCAGTCAGGAGAAACCACTCTCCGCTACTTTGGAGTGTTAAAACAGTTCAAAGCACAAATAACCTTCTACCATCCACCCACGGTTGTTCACCATATAAGATTCAAGCAGCATTTATCTGTAGTTGGCAGCTCTTCACATTTCAGGACCCAAGAAGGGAACATGGAAAGTTCCTTTAAAAAAATAATTTGTTGCATTCCAAGTTGTAACATAACAAAATGTGAAACAGTCAAAATGTGTGTGAGAGAATACTTCTACACTCCAATCCAAATTATTATATTTAATCCATTAGTTAAGTACACACAGTACTCCCCATAAAATTGGAAAGGTGATTTAGAGTGTAAATATAGGTAGAAGATTAATAAAATACCTCCTCAACTTAGCTAACAGTCAGAAACATTAAGTAATAATTTGAATAGTTCATACTGCATTTTGTTTTGTGTGTTGAAGGAACAGAAAGTAACTTTTTTATATTCTTACATTAGGTAAAAACAAAGAAAATGGACAACCCCAGAACAATTATATATTACACAATATCCAAACGCAGGTATATTTTATTTCTTAATACTGCATTTTAATTGATATATCAAACATATATTGGGGGCAGGTTCTGTTTTCTTTTAAGCACTAATGATGTAAACAATGTTTCTCATGCTATAAGATAAGAAAAGCACTCCACAGACAGTGACATCACATAAACCTGATTTTAATAACTCTGTTTGCATTTTCGATCAAATCTGTCAAATGTTTATGAGGCACACTTTTGGCAGAAGTAAATGTTGAGCAGAGTCCAATACTTGTATGTGTGTACAAATCAGCTTAGTGGCAATTATATGACACATGCTCATTCAACATGATGCAACGTTAAACCATGTTAACAGAAATCATTGGATACTCTGGGGCTTTCTCCAAACTCTGGAGTAACCAGCAACTATGCCACTTCCTATTTGGGCATGAAAATGATGCTCTTCATTACTTAGCGCCTGGAGTAACTATAGCCAGACCGCAAAGGTAATTGGAGAAGGAGGGAGGGGGGAGAGATGGGAAGTTACTTAGAAAACCAAAACAATTGCTCTTTTGGAGAGCAGGAGGAATCACATGTCTCACGTCTTTCATGCTATACAGTTGTAACATTGTGATTCCTCTTTAATTGACATGGGTAGATCTTGTAAAATCTTGGGATTTGCCGGTTTTAGGGAAGAGTACTTGGAATTCTCTGCCAGATTAATCTAGTATCTTACCAGAAGCAACAGTTTTTATGTCTCATGGTAGCCAATGATACAACAGATAAAATGCTAGAAGAGTCAATCCTTTGTGTCATAAATGTTTCCCTCTTTTGGCCCATTCTCCAAAGAAGTTATAATTTCAAAAAATAAGCAGTTCACCAGTGATCATTACTATCATGCAATGCATTTTAAAATATATTAATCAAAACTTTACAAGCATGCTATATACACATTTGGTAGTCATGTAGCCATATATTGAAAAGAAAGACTTAGATACATAGATAAAATAACAAGACAGATGACAGAAAATTCACCTTCTATATTTGTTTATGGAAAATAACTCTAAATTATTATATAACATTTTAATTGCCTTATTGTGCCTGGTCACCAGATTAGAAACAGGTTTGTCGTAGAAAGGACCCATGTGCTTTTATTTTGGAGAAATTGAGGTCTAGAACAGAATCTATCTCATTTTGATGTAATTTGTTGATATGTTTCTTTCTTGGCATTGAACGCTTGCCATATGTGTTGGAAACTGCTCTGAGTCCCCTCGTGGAGATAGGGCGGTGTATAAATAAAGTTTTATTAAATATAGTTTCATTACTATTTTTGTGGACAAAGTAATTTAACAGAGAAAAAATGTAAATAACTCACAAATAGTTTTTTAAAATAAATAGAATCATTAGTGACATCTGAAGGATGCAATTCAGCTGCAATTCACTGTATTCTTCCCTGGATTCACCCCATTAACACCATACCCACTTCAAATAAACTAGACTAGACTCCTATTGTATTTTTAGTCACATATTTCCTATGCCCAAATTCAAATATTTTCAAAAAGCCTGCATGTCTTTGTACTTTGTCTCCCATACACACCCACACACAGGATGGGAAAAGATAAATGTTTATTTCTCCTTCTCTTTGGGGCTTTTGCCTCCTCCCCATCTGTGCCCAACCATGAAATCAATGGTGAGGAGATAGATTAAGGTACCCCCTTGTCATTGATCTGGTAGTTCAGTCTTTGGCGGCTTAACTATAAAATACTAATATAATAAAATGTAACACATACAAACCATAGTAAGCAGTGAACCTCAGATTTTATGAAATGGAAGGTGGGCTAATTTCATGACAAGATGAGCCCCATCATTTTGTGTCAACTTTTTTTTTACTTCACTGAATGTATGAATGAACTAGTGAGTGAGTGACTAAATCAGTGAACACGTGCATCCTCCCACCCAAATGAGTCTCTGATCAAGAAGAGGGGGCAAGCATGCCTTCCCTCTTTCTTCCCCTGGCTGATCCACTTCTCACTGATCAGAGCAGGAGGGTGGATTGGGCAAGGTGAACAAAAATGGTTATGCACATCTCACTCCTCCCCCCACACACACCATCACTTACAGAGATGAGAAGAACAATGAATATATCCATGAGGTTTTTTTTCCAAGACCCAGATGATCACCCCCATTTTATTAAAAGGTATTAATGTTAAATGGGGTGTCCATGTTCATGTCATGGTCATTTAATAATATGGAGTGTGATGATCTGTGGTCAATTGAATTTGCAGGTCTGAAGCCCATGGATCCAGAAGGTCCACTGTATAGCAGCCAACTCCTGTGTTTATCCCACCCCTCCACATTCTGATTGTGTAGCCAATAAACTAGCACCTGAGCTACCAAAGGATCCCCCTTTCAGTCAAAATAGTTAGGAGAATTTCTGTAATGACTTCTCAGTATGTGTTTTGACAGGGTTAAGGGAAATGTCGATTCATTTTTTATTCAAGCCAGATGCTGACTCCTTGCCAATTGCACATGTTGCAATCATTCGTTATTTATAATATACTAGAAAATGTAGTTTACATTCTATAGATATGAATGCAAACATTGGCTTCTACTGTAAATTCCATTGCTGTTTTGTGTATAAAAAGGATTAGCCCAATATTTTATCTCATATTTTGTCTAGCATTTTCAGAATAAGCATACTACTTATTCAAATTGTTCAATGTTTACTGTGTAGTTTTCACACTACAGTAGCAATTGAACAACTATGTTTCCGTCCCATTTCTGCTGGATTCTGATATTCTAGTAGTAGAAATTCAGATATAGAACCTGCCAATTGCTTCTTTAACTTCTTCCAGAGCAGAAACTGTTACTAGAAGAAAAGATCATGTTTTTATTTCCCTCTAGAATGACAATGTGATATTTTAATGAAATTTGAGCAGCAGTGGCAAGAACTCTTTTTTAAAAGTTTTAATTATGATGGTGCTGTAGTTAAAAGTTATAGTAATTTTATTCCACCTCTGTCACTCTTCTTGCAAGCCAGATCAGAGCTCTAGGAAAGCAATAAAATATACTTGTTTTAGGATTTTCCCCTCTATAAGTCAAGAGCAAGAAATAGGTGGAGGAAAAACTGTCAAAAGCTATCTTCAACTTTCATTTCATGCTGGTGAAATATTTTTATGATGTCAGGCTGCAAGGTGGAGTCCTTTTTCTCTCCCTAACTAGGGCATTCTTGTATATATTGTCTTAAAATAAAAAACATTTGTCCAGTGAACTGGAGGCCAGCATGACCATGTCAGTTTTTAATTGCTTGTTTGGATTTTCAAAAACCTTTTGATGAAGTCTTTCAGCAAAACTTCTGAACATAGCCTTAGGACTTGGACACATTAACCTGCTGTGCCACAATAGTTGCATTGAAAATAGGCCCCGCTGAATTCTATGGGACTTACAAGCAAGTAGGTGTAGTACAATCAAAGGTTGTGATTCTGTATATCAGAAATGGACAATATGGAACATTGGTAAGATATGTAACACTTCTGTTTTTTATATTGCAGTCTTTTACAGTGTAGAAAATAACTTTTTATTTCACTCCATCAACAAATTGTCTTTCTGAAGTCCTTGCTGAGTTGGACAAAAATTTCTAATAATTCATGTGTACTAGATCAGATGTATTTCCCCTGCCCATAGGCTGCTGTTTCATTTAAAATAGTTCTGTTATATCCGTGTGCAATTTCTACCACTTCCAGCTGCAGGTGGAAACATTAACCATCTGTATATCGGCACTTATCTAATAACGGATTTCATTATATATCTGATTTTTCTGGAACGGAACCTGAAAGTTCTACATTTCTTTAAATTGATGAAATGTGCCTTATTTTCTTTACTCTAACTGTTACCAGAACCAGCTTCAGAGTATTTTCTGATGGTATGCAATCTAATTTGTGGGGAAATAATATTCCAGCAGTTACTCAAATTTGTACCACAATTCTTCTGAACTCATTGTCTTGTTTCTAGTGAGGTGCATGTAGATGAAACAGGCCAATTTAAATCAGTTACAGTTATCGTCAAGCACACCCAAGTGCTGACACCACTACTTTTCAAAAGTGCTGTCACCACTACTTTTCAAAAGTGCTGTCACCAAGTGCTGTCACCACTACTTTTCTTTCCTTTGGAAAGAGATAAAACAAGCAGAACGTACAAAACTACAAGATAATACAAAATGCAATACATGCTTTGTCTGTTCCTCAGATGTGGTGCTACCATGAATTCTCTGCATTAGAAGTATCTCTAAATTTGGAATAATTAGAATGAGATGTATGTTGCTGGATTGGTTTTAAGCATGAAAGAACTATGAGCAGTCTAACCTTGGATGACATCCTATTCTGTCGGTTGGCTCTAGTGAATTGGTTGGTGGCAACAGCTTTCTGAGGAATTATTGTGTACCTTGATGTTATTTCGGATCTATGGCAATCCTAACTTGACCCTTCATAGGGTTTTCTTGACAAGATTAGTTCAAAGGGGGTAGATTTTGCCACCTTCTAAGGCAAAAAGAGTGCACTTTGAGTAATTGTAGGTTTTTGGGGCTGTTCTAGAAGCATTCTCTCCTGAAGTTTTGCCTGCATCTATGACAGGCAACCTCAGAGGTTGTGAGGTCAGAGTGTGATTTTCCCAAAGTCACCCAGTGGGCTTCCACGACTGAGTAGGATTCAAACCCTGGTTTCCAGAGACACAGTCCAACACTCAAACCAGTCCACTATCCTGGGTCTCTCTTGGAAATTTATTTTTAACACCTGTTTTAAGTACAGCCTAGTGATGACTGAAGTCTGTGTGGCAGTTCTAGCAGCTATAGAAGGATGGTGATTTCTTGAGAAATCTGTTTGTCGCTGATATTTCACAGCCTGTTCCTCTATCTAGTCCAATATGAGAAACTGTAGACTAAAATATTATGGGTTTCTAAGAAAGATAGGCTATGAAGTGATGGATGTGGTGGAGGGATAAGGAAGAGAAGGATGGAAGGATGCAGGAACCGGTTCTTAGGCATGAAATTCATATGAGAAGTTTGTTTCTGCAGTAACTTCTGTGTAATCCAGCACATACAAAAGGCTCTCCTGTCTCCAGCACACACAAAAGACATGTATTATAATTAAATGTTTGCTTTGACACTGACAATGCTGTGGAACTAGATAAAATGTATGTATACTATCCTTATACAACTGAAAACTGTCTCTTTTCTTTGTAAAAATGAATTATAGATTTACAAGTAATCCCTATTTTATAACAATGTTTTTCACCTCTTCAGTTTATACCAGGAAATTCCAAAGTACTACATCCAGTTACAATAATAAAACAAGGTAATCTCTATGACTTCTTATACTTGGTATTTGTAGAATTGGAAGCAGTTTTGCACATGAAAATGAATGTTTGAGTGTAGCTCTAAAGCTTGGCAAACTGGTGACAGTGAATATTGTGAGTTATGAGAAAATTCTCAGGCCTGAATCGAGTTGTTAATCCCAACTAAAGTAAACCATTGTACACATAGGTCTTATATAAACATAGATTTACCAAATTATTAATTATTCAATTGGTTGACACCAGTTAGAACTAGGAATTAGATCTGGTCTTAAGATGATCTGAATTTCCTTCAATAATCCAAGCATCTGAATTCCCATCAGATATTTAATATTGTGATATCGTACAAATACAAAAATAAATAAATGAAGATCACTGTAGAAAATGGTAAAAACAATGCATAGTTCTAGATCATATTCTATGGGCAGAAGCAATCCAATTTATGGCTAGACCAGAAATATTTTACAAAGTATGTACAACAACAAAATCTTTGTACAAAGTTCTTGGTGGAATCTTTGTAAACAAGGCACCTGCCATGCACTAGTATTCATTTTATCATCTTCAGTTAATTCAATACATTTTATGCCCTACTTTTGGATATTTTAAACATCATGAGAATTAATGTTTGTTTTTTTATTTTAAAAAACCTTCATAAGGAGATTTATTTGCTTTATTTCTATTTGGAACACAGTTCGCTGCTTGACCAAAAAACTCAAACCAAGATTTTTTTCAAGGGAGCTGATAATCTCTTCTGGAAAATCTAGAGTTGAATCTTGGATAGTAATGGTCAAATTCAATTGCAAGGATCTGGTAATAATAACTGTGCGGAACTTGTAACAATGTCAGTGTCCAACTTTCTTGAGACAGAAGTTCCAGAGTTGTGGCGTTGTCCATATTTTGCTTTCCTTTGGGAAGAGCAATCACTGAACACTTACAGCCTTTTGCAAAACTTGAATATGTTTGTAATTTTACTTATTTATTAAGCCTCCACCTAATACATCAAGCATAGATAGAGCCAAACAGTTTATATTCCAAAAGCTGGCATTTTTGCATGTCAGATATCTCTAAAGATTCACTCCAGAGCTCAAAGCTGCTCCTCTACTTTTTTCCAGTTCCACTATAAAAACTCCCTTCTTTTTTCTTTTCACTGAGAGACTTAGATTGCAATATTTTTTGGTGGGGAAAGGGCTGGAAAGAAAGCCTTTAATATAATGGTTCTAGCACTCCAGTGGCATCTCAAGCTGCCTGCTAGTCACTGTAGGCCAGTTATCTGTAATCCTCTAGACTTCTTTTTTATTCTTGATATTCTGGCAATGCTTTCCTCCCTTTTTCCTTTCTTCTTATAAAATATAAGTCACTGTATCTCTCCTTTTGGTGAACCCACCATCTCTTTTTACTTTTTATTTCTCTTCATGAGATGGACACACTTCTGCCTTTATTTAATGTCCCATTTCTCCTTGATACTGTCTTAGCTTCTGTTTGCCATCTTAATACTTCACCAGCATATTATAAACTTGTGTCTCATTTCTAGAATTTCTTTTCCCAATGCATTGAAAAATGCTATCATTTTCTATACACTTTCTGTTGATGCTTTATCTCTCTCCAATAGAGTTGAAATTGCATGATTTTCAGGCTTAATTCTTTATAACACACAGTGTTTACCACTACTCACCCCCCATCTTCTCTTTTCCAACTCTTATTTTAATCTTTCCAGTTTCACCTTTGCATTATTCTGAAGCAACTTCTACTGAAATACATTTGTGATCTACTTGCTGCCAAATTGAAAGGTCTTTATTATGTTCACCACTGACTATTAGAAATACATTTTTACATGATGTCAGGCCAATACGATTTTATAAAAAATCAATTCTTATTATTTTCACAGTTCTTCAAAATGTAACACAGCGGACAAAGCCTAAAATCCCAGAGAAGTCTCCTTTAGCAGGACCAATACTAGGTGACTAAGATGTTCCTCATTCCAGATAGATGCTGTCCTCAACCTTTAACTTCTTGAATTTTCACTTTCTTTTGAATGGATATAATTAACTGCTTTGAATCTATAGGAGTGTAGTCAGATGTGAAAAGTTGTATTTTAAAGATGGAAATTTCAATAAATGTTAATTGCAATCTTTCTGGCAAAACCTAAATTGATTATTATGATAGTTGGGGTATACAGACAGTCCCCGAGCTACAAACATCCAACTTCCAGTTCAGAATGGGGTTTAGACAGAAGGAAGTAAGAGAAGTCTATCCTAAGGAAGGGAAATTCACTCTTGAAAGAGTTATCATGGGGAAAGGTGTCTCCACTGAAGCTTTCCCACCAGTCCTTGTTTCCACAACAAGCCACATTTTTCAAAATCCAATTGTCATAGGGATGGAAGGTGAGGTGAAATCATCTGAACAGGAACACAGACAGCAAAACAAACAGCACAGGGGTGTTAATCCTTCCCTATGCTATCCAAAGCATGACCTGAATGTGTGTGTGTGTGGCTGGAGTTACACTTAAAATGTATCTGTTCTGACTTAAATACAAATTTAACTTAGGAACAAACGTCCAGAACCTATCTTGTTCATAACTTGGGGACTGCCTGTATATACATTGGACAGTTCTTAAACTGTCCAATGTATATACAGGCAGTCCCCAAGTTATATCTGATATCACTGTAACTTTCAGAGCTACAATGTATGGAATCCTGGGGTTTGTGGTTCCCTATGGTATAGTTCAAGAAAGTTGACTAGAAAATTCAGTGTGCCTCGTCACCAATCTATAAATCCCAGAATTGTGTAGATTGGATCTCTAACAGTTAAGTGGGATGGAAATGTTATAATTATGCAGTTTGGATCTACATATGCAGTGTGATCATAATTCTAAGAGGAAAGTAGGAGTAGATTTTTAGTCTGAGATTTTGGTACCTCCAGCAAGTACACAAAATATGTGTACTTGCCTAAAGGTGATCATATTACAAGAAATTCTGGGTAGCACAATGAAGCCTAATTTTCTAAGAATTGTTTACAAATAAAGTTGTCATCAACACAGAATTTTTCAGTCATACAAAACAAAGCAGTATTTCTATTTCTGTGTCTCCCAGTCAATCCTTCTTTTCCACTAATGCTTTTTATTAATCAGAGCTTTGAAATGTTATAAATGTATAAGGTAAACTGAAAATAAAAACTGTATTGCATTTATATTGTTTTTAAAAATAATTCCCAATAAAATATTAGTCCACAGAATTATCCCACTCCAAATAAATAACAATAACAATAGCTGTTACTATAAATGTTGATGCTGTATTATTATTATTATTATTATTAATTGTATTTCTTATCCATATTTCCTCACAGCCTAATATTTTTTAAAAGTTTGAATTTCTTGGAGCCAGAAAATATAGCATTAATTTTAGGAAGTACTTTACTTCCAAGATCTGAAATTTATTCTTCATTTATTTCTTTGATTTCTGATTTTCTTCAGCATGTGAATCAAAGTGTAGACTTAACATTTAAATTAAAACAGACCGTCAAATAAATGACTCCTTTATTTTGTGTGTAGTGCACCTAATTGTTCCAGATTTCAATGGAACGCAACAGAAGCTGCTATCACCTTTCACACTGGATGTACCTGAAAAACCAAAAAAGACACCTGGTAAGCAAAAAGAGAGGCATTTAAATCATGTGTGCCCATCTTCTGATGCAGAATGTAAATGCACTCTAAGGACATCATCACATGAATTTGCCAGTCTCCATGACAAATTTGGGTAGCAATGGGGTGGCAGCAAGGCAATCCCAGCGCCTCACCTACCAGCTGACGCTTCTCCATCCCACATGGGGAATCGTCACCACATGACTTGAGTCCACTGAAGCCCTGTTGTTCATTATGGAACACGGAGAAGATTCTGTGTTGGTGGCATCAGTGTTCCACCATGCTGCTGCCCCAGTACACCCATGGAGCCCCACCGAAAGTCACCCTTCATCATCTGATGGAGGCATGGGGCTCCATGGGTGAACTGGGGTAGAAGCATCATAGGATGCTTCTTTTGCCCTATGTGATAAGGCTGTATTTGCACTACCTGATAATGTCTATGATTTGCACTGACCGCCGTGCAGAAAAATGCAGGATAATGCATATCAATACTTAGCAGTGCTGTGCGTATCATTTGAAAAGATCAGAGGCTCTGGATTCATATGTCTTTTTTCTAGTCCAACTACTTCATCTCAGTAATGGGTTTCTGTATGAAATCAATGAAGTTCCTATCTGAGATTTGCTTAGTTCCTGAGGGCTAGCACTTGGCCCAAGGTTTCCTGCTGGTTTTAAGGGGGAAGGAGTCATCCAACTGAATAATTTTCAACATAGGACACACAGAAGAGCTGGATGTCTTGTAGAACAGTACGACATTTTTAATTTCTTTTCTGTTTCAAAACATATTTGGATATTGGGTGTGAAGCCAGCGGCTTCTGCTGAGATTCTAAAGTTCATCAAAATTGAAACACTGGCAATAGCCATTTAATTAGGAGTTTAAAATAATAATGTGTGTATCAAACGTATTTGTCTGAAATGTATATTTGTATAAGGTTTCTAACTGCCATTTTAACTTGAGTTGTGCCATATGAAACTTGCTTATGATTTGAATTATCATCCTTGTCAATTTGTTTACATGCACTCATAGCAAAGAAGGGATGTTGAGTGTTAAGCAGTCTTAAGATTAATTGTTAGATAGCGTAATCACTTTTGTGTAGTCATGCCAACATTTTATCCACTTCTAGATTTGTGCAAGAGTTGAATTCAATGTAGGTTGGGGGATGGTATAATTCTTCTTCATGGTATAGATTTCCAAGCACCTCAAAAACTTGCTTCAGAGTTTGGAGACTCTTCAGAAGTAATTTTGGCCAGTCAGAGAATGCTGTCCTAAGGGGGGCCAAAATCTTGATTCTTCTACAAACATAATTTTGGATTTGTATTATAAGAAAAAAGAGAGCCAGGAACAGTTATATAGTTAAGAATTTAAATCCTTTTGTTCTTCACAGTTATATTGGTTGGTTTGGCTATTCTTTACCATACAACCCAAGTCCCGTTTGTTTATTAAATTCTACTTGTTGCTTTATGTAGCGAAGAATGAAACTCAAGAATGGCCTGCAGAATCCAAAACACCAGAAGTACAAGAAATCTCTCCACAATCTCAACCTGGTGAGTAGTACTTTTCTATATGGTGCCTTGACAAAACAGAAGGTTGTGTTGTTTACCCATTTGAATGAAATAAGAAAGGTACATTAATTTGGTGAAATATATTGAAGCAAGTAAAACTGTATATAATAATATTCTTTTAATATAAATGATGAACTTGAAGCAGATTTTTAATTTAGAAATCAATATTTGAATACAACAGGCCCATTGATATTTATGTTCTTTGTTAATCATAAACAATGTTTGCACTCCCATTTTTATGTCTTTACTAGCTTGGGGACCCGGCGTTGCCCGGGTTATTAGAGAAAGTGGGTAATGGTGGTTCTGTATGCCA